AGCTTAAATAGAATATAAACGGTGTGGGAGACAAAGATGTATTGTGAGGCGAGGCATAAGTGTCCACTTCTGTCCAGCATATCCGCAAATGTGGCCTAGTATTGAACTGGCCCAAAGGTGAAAGTAATGCGGCCAATGCGAATAAATTTAGTCTTGATGACTCTCGGACGTGCTTGAATGCAACATGATGAACGATACAGCTCTTCCTTTCAAGAGCGTCCTTCTTTTAAGAATTTAATGAAATTTTGTGCACGAGAAGATTTTAATTGAGAGGGGTTTTAAGCGGACTTCCGATTCAACCGCATGTAATATTTGAAAGTTAAAATGGGACACGGAAAAAAAAACGGACTGCAGATTTAACAATTCAATTGTTTAAAGAAGTGACTGCAATGTCTCAAATGTACATTTTACTATAACAGAAAGCTAATTTACCCACAAGGGCGGTTAAAGTAGCATTTTTCTGTTGTAAATCTACATTGAAACATTGCAGTCACTTTTTTTTTAAAACTAGAAAATTGTAAAATCAGCAATTTAATTTTTTCCGTGTACCAATTCCAAAATTCCGTCACATTTTACCACATCCCTGAAAATTCCTCCGTTGAGGATTGATTCTGTTTCGTGTAGATCTTACATGAAGTCGTATTTGCATAACATGACACTTTCGCATGCCATACAAAAATGCTAATGTTTACTATTGTGGGTCTTAAGTTTGTTGGCTTGTTGGCATAGTTTTTATTTCATTAGATATTAAAAGAGAAAATAATTGTTATAGGAAACTGAAGGTTTGAGAATGTTAAAAATGTTAAAATGGGTAACTCACTTGCACTTTATTTTTATATTCTTTTTTGCAGACGCGTTTCGGGCATCGGCCCATCATCAATGCTAGATCGCGACCCGAACTGAAGGTTTTATTGAATTTTTAGCTGCTCCTTCATGTTATAGGCCATTGAGAAAAGTAAATTGCTTATGGCTCAAGTAGCCTTACGTCTAATGGAACAAGAATGATTACTTTCACGGGGTTAGATTAGTCACATTGTTAAAGAATTACGTTCTCATTCTGGATTGTGCGTCATTTTGCTGTCAATCCTGTAAAGTATTCGTAAAAGATATCGCAGTATTGCATAGACTCATCATTTTTCCCGGAGAAGACTGAAAATCTGGCAACCTCCATCTTTGTAACCCTGAAAAAAATTATTTTTCTCGTCCAGAGAACCGTATGCACGTATGTTGAAGCCATATCTTATTTTACGGACCTAATCAGGACTCGGTTCAATTTTTCCCAAGCAGCCATCCAGAAGAAAATGGCACGCTATTTTTTTCTCAGCTCTGAGGTAAAAACAGGGTGAATTAATTTATTGGAACGTAGATTTTTCGTACTGTCATCCAGCCCTGCCGTTTCCTATATGCTTAACTTGTGTTCGAAAAATATTAGATCCAACTAATTCTCCATCAGTGGCGTGGCGTGAATTGCGATATATCGAGTGTTATTCCATTTAAACCTATGGTAAAGAATCGATTATTAAGGTGTTCGCTGCGGACGCCCTGTTTATCGATCCTATTCCATAGGTTTAAATGGCATAAAAATCGATATATCGCAAAACACGCCACGCCACTGTTCTCCATGATGCCAAGTTTAAAGCCCTGAGTCCCAAGACTCCACCTTCTGTTCACGATTTTCTCAGAATATATTTTCCGTTGTGCGCTCGACGTCGATCATGGTTAAAGGGGTACCAAGCTCTGTTTTAAATGGCGTATTGACGACGGAAAGCATTAAATAACAGGCTCGATTTTTATACCTAATTTCTGATTTAAATTTTCCGATGTGTATCAGATACCCAGCTCTTTTTTCAACGCTAAATTGCCGAGAAAAAACCTCTCGAGAAGCATAAGACGGTAAACTTTATTTTGGCTGCTAATGCGCTGACAAACGTTTTGCGAAACGCATTGGATTGCAAGGCTCCGTTTTGACTGTTAAATTTGTTATTTAGTCCTCAACATATCATCTCGTCAATCCTCTTCATCTAATCACAGACGCAGTAAGACAGGAGACTTTAACGCTGAGTTAGAAAAATGAACTATATATAGATTATTACGTCCTGTCTCAGAAACCACCGCCGTCGGATCGATGTTCCAACCGACGTTTGAATAGCTAAAAATTGTCTGTAACGACTCATTTCATTAATCCTCTTCATCTAATCCCAATCGCTGTAAGCCAGAAGACTTTAACGCTGAGTTAGGACAATAAACTAGATGGTTTATCATGTGTTCTTCTAGAGACTCCAATGCCGCTGTTGGATCGTTGTTCCAACCGACTATAGATTTGTCATCAATAGGCTTTCTGAAAAGTCATTCAATTTTTCGTATAAATCTCACAAATTAGTCAATAAATGTAATCCATCAGTGGTGAAACAAGCAATACCTATGCAATGCTCTTAATCTAATTACTATCGCACTTAACGCTGCGTTTGTAAAATAAACTAGATAGATTATTATCGTGCCCTCTATCATATATTCCAGTACTGCTGTTAGATCGTTGTTCCAACCGACAGTTGAATCTTCTCCAATAGGCTTTCCGAAAAGTATTTGTGATGCCATCAATGTTTTATTCAACTGGTCGTATTGATCTTACACTATTAGTGAAATAAATGCTATCCATATGTATAGTGTAACATGCCATGCAAGTAAGACCGCACGCTATCCTACTTATCTAATTACAATCGCAGTAAGTTAGGAGACTTTAACGCTGAGTTAGGACAATAAACTAGATCGATTATCATGTATTCTTCCAGAGACTCCAATACCGCTGTTGGGTCGGTTTTCCAACCGACTATTGATTTGCTAAAAATTGGTTTTCCGAAAGAAGTGTTCATGTATGTCTTCAACATTCTGTTCAACTGGTCGTATTGACAATTATTGAAACAAATGTAGTCCATTTCAGTGGCGTGGCGTACTTCGCGAAACACCGATTAATCTCTCATTTAAACTTATTGAGAAAGACGATAAACAGGGTGCTCGCGACGAACACCTTAATAATCGATTCTCTGCCGTAGCTTCAAATGGAGAAATATCGATAATCGATCGTTCACGCCTCGCCACTGATCCATTTGTAGAGCATTAAATTCAAAGACCCTACTCAATCCTATCAATCTAATTGCAATCGCAGTGAGTCAGGAGACTTTAACGCTGAGTTAGAAAAATAAACTGGATAGATTACCATGCTCTCTTCCAAAGCCTCCGGTACCGCTATCGGGTCGTTCCATTCGACTGTTGAATTGCTATCATATTTATGTATTCCATCACTTTTTCGTTCAACTGGTAGTATCAATCTTACAATTAGTCAAATAAATGTAACCCACCAGTAGTGAAACAAGGAGTCCAAAGTCCTCACGCTACGGGATAGGCCCCTTGGCGAGAGCGAAACTTGCGTCCCGCTTTTCGGGCGGCCGCTAATCGACCTCCGTAAAATAAGTAATAGTAATTGTGGGAATGATTCTCCTTTCTCTTTCTTCTCTCGTGCCTATTTTTCGTCACCGCGTCGCGTCGCGCCGGTCGTCGGACTCGAACATACATGGACGTATTTCTGTCGAACGGAACTATGTGTGTTAAGACATGAGCCCTGAGACCCATAAGAATTTAAGCGTAGCAGGGCTCACGTTATAATGCACGTAGTTCCGTTTGGTAGAAATACGTCCACATGAGGAATGTCATTGTCTCCTTTTCCGAGCGATGAAAATACACCGATAAGACGAGCGTCACAACACCCCGCGATCCCATGTTTCTCGCCAACATTCGCGTGTGTCATCGCGTCACTTGCGACGTTTCCGCGTTCGGTTTTTCGCCGCGGATATTTTTCCGTCTCGCTCCCGGCCGACCACCACACGTTTGAATACTCCGCTACGTTTTTACTTTCCCTCAAATCCCGAGATAATAGAGGTGTGCTCCGCAGTCCCGACGGAAGGAAAGGATTATCCATCGATGTGATGGAGCGTATTCGTCATTTTTCACAGTGGCGTGGCGTGCTTTGCGATATATCGATTGATCTGCCATTGATTCGCACTTAAAAGATCGATGGTCGGAGTGTTTGCAACGAACACCTTAATAATCGATTCTTTACCATAGCTTCAAACGAAGGCTCTTTCGAATTCAAATACATTTATCGTTTATCCTCGTCTTCCTCGTCTTCAGTTAGAAGTAACGCAACGGTATGGGCGAAAATCATCAAACTTATGGATTATCATTGGTAGAAAAACCTCTTGATTCAAGAGTGCAGTTTCTTGTTGCCGGATTTAAGAGTCTGGACTCTTGTTTCAAGCGGATTTTGAATTGAATCAATGCCAAATCCGCTTGAAACTAGAGTTCAAGACTCTAAAATCCGGCGACAAGAAACTGCACTCTTAAGTCAATGCACCGCGGCATTGGTTCAAGAGGTTTTTTTTTTTACCAGTGATGCTCGTTTTTTTGAGTGCTGAATTTGTGGCTGTTGCTGGCCTAATCAGTTATGCATCACAGCCTATAGACGTAGCCTATGGAATAGCCATTTGCAACGTTGAAATGTCAAATTCTTCAGTACAGTAATTTAGTAAAGCCTATAGACATAGCATATGGAGTAGCCATTCGCAACGTTGAAATGTCCAATTCTCAAGTACAGTAACTTAGTAAAATCATCACCGCGCTTTTTTGCAGTAAACTTTACCTCTACAACGCCTCGCTGATGAAGCCTCGAAACAGAGGGAACAAAACCTGCTGGGAATATAATATCGTTTGAAATTGGCCCAATTTTGAAACATGGCTTAATTTTCACACCTTCCTCCTTGTATTTGCTGCTCCAAAAGCTCTTCTATACCGAGCTTGCACAAATGATGCTTGTGGCTGCCAATTTTCAAGCGTCTTTCATGCTCCTTCGCTTCCGCGACTGGACCGCGGCGTGTTTCATGTGTATCATGAGCTCTGAGTCAAGTGATCATCTTTACTAATGTTTATTTATACATTTTTGTTTCCAGGAAAGGAGGTCTCGATGACCGGGCAGTGGAAGTCTTTATGGATTTTTTCGTTATTTTTCTCTAGTGAGTATTGCCATACACCTGTCATCAATTTATTTCGCAAGGAAGTCTTTATGGATTTTTTCGTTATTTTTCTCTAGTGAGAATCGCCACACACCTGTCATCAATTTATTTCGCAAATATAAGCGGACCATAGTACTCAAAGTCGTCTCTCAAATGTCTCCTTCCCGCAGAGAACCTTCTGATCGAAAGACGTTTAAGGAGACATAATCATAGCGTCATGTAAAGGACAATACTAGACTCTTAAAGAGAGCTAATCATAGCGTCATTCAGAGGACAATACAGGCGTACCTCAAGTGAAATTTAGGGGTTTAACTTTGGAAATGGATTCTTTCAAGAAGTCATAATGACTTATCACTGCATGAAGTAAACAATACAAATGAGAAAATCCTACGATTTGAATAAACTTTGAGGTCGGTTCTGACCTATCGTAAACTGGTAAACTTCGTAACATGTATTTTATACTTTTGTGGCGGCAAATCATTATATTCCCTTGCCAGGATTCATTTTCTACATTAAACTACAGAATTTCACTCAATGTTGGCCAAAATTCTCCACTTAATAATGCTCTAACCAACGCTTCTTCCTAAACCTCCCGCAGTCTAAATGAACCACTATGCAAGGTGCGAATTTAAGCACTCTGATTTTGGTGTTTTTATAAAAGTTTCTCGCAAGACAAGATTTAAATAACGCGATTAGTCGATAGTAACCTGAAGATATTGACTTGTTTCGTTGCGCAAATTACAACTTCCTGCTCCTAGTATATAGCAATCATTTACTCGATTAAAATCGCATACCGATCGTTACTGCAACATTCTTAGCAGTGTGGTATCGGCACTTCAGTGTCACCGGTTGTTCCAATCTTGAACAACATTGGTTGGGGAATGAATCAAGTAATCTTTTCTTTTAAACTGTCCATTGAGAAACAGTTTGAATTCGTTAAATGGCCCACAATACAAATACAAATTCCCCTCGAATTTTGAAGGACTCAGTGCCTGAGCAAGCTCTTGGAACTTCGGTTTCCTCTTCAAACGCAGCGCGTTCTCACCTCTGTTCCACAATGAGAGATCGTAAAGAAGAAAAGGCAAATTGTTATGACTCGACTCTGCTAAATACAGGAACGGCCAAGCTGTCAGGATGCCGTTGAAAGCGGTGGATACAACAGGTAACTGATCGAGCGTCACCAACGGTCCGATCCGCTATAGCAGTTGCCCACATTTCCTTTTTGGTGCGTTTACTGATGAGGTTTTTACTATTTCTGTCATCCGGTGTCTTTGACTTATCCAGTTTCTAGCGTTGCGGCGGTTCTAAGCTGTAATCGCCTGCTTTACCACATGGAGGTGTTCACTCTGAAAAGCGGCGTCGATCAGGAAAACCGGGAGGTTTATTTTCATAGATGCTTAACAAGACTGCTAGTGATCTGAAAAACAGGGATAACGGTATATGTCTGGAGATTTACGAATATCTTCAAAAACTAGGCCCATGTAGCAGATCGCGATAAGTTGCGATTTGATCAGAGAGTGCATCGCCGTTATATCGACGTCGATTTATTCCAATACAATCGGATAAGAAATAGTATTCAATTAGGATGTCATCACAAATATTTGGAATAAAATCGCGATTCTATCGACGGCCATTTATCGCAATATTACTGGCCAAATGAGAGAGATGAAATAAGATAAATTTACAATTTCATTAACGCAACTTTATGGAGATATGATTGCGACAAGATTGAGGATAAACGCCATGCGTTGATGATCCCAGCAATTTTATCGCCAAGAAATCGTAAAAATTCGCAACTTCATTTCAAAATTGTTCGACTTTACCTTGGAAAAACGCTACTTGGGAAGTAGTATATGATTGTTTTCTAAAGACATTGGGTTCCCGGGAGAAGTTAGGCGAAAAATCACTCGTCAATTCCATTACTTACAGAAGAAAGACATCAATGGAGATGTATGCGTGAGGAATTTGCGATTTGACTATCGATTCTCTTGTAAAAGTTCGCGAGAAACACGATGGTGCCACTGGATATCTCTGAAATCAACTCCCAAGCTCAAAAAAAGCTCTTAAGTTGATGCCTAAATGAAGGGGAAATCCCACGCTATCCTGTGAGTCCACCTCTACATCAAGACAAACTCTCTATGCAGAGATAGGGAGCAAATACATTGACAGGGCTGCCACTTTCTTTGGGGACTCCACAACTGAAAACACGGCAATCCTGCTAACGTATTTGCTCCCTATCTTTGCCTGGAGAGTTTGTTTTGATGTAAAGGTGGACACTCAGGATAGCGTGGGATATCCCCTCCATTTTGGTCTCAACCTGAGAGCTTTCTTTGAGCTTGGGAGTTGATTTCAGAGAAAACCAGTGGCACCATCGTGTTTCTCGCGAACTTTTACATAAGAATCAACAGTCAAATCGTAAATTCCTCACACATGCAACATCTAAACGGAACTATGTGGATTAAGATATGCGCCCCACGACTCTCAAGAATGTATGCATAACAGGGCTCTAGTCATAATGCACATAGTTCCGTTTGGTAAAAGTACGTCCAATTATTCATTAAATTCAAATGGGATCAACCTATCGACCAGAAAAATGCTTCACTCAAAAGTTTTATTTTAGTTTTGTCGCGAATGCGCCCGCCGTTCCATATTCGAGGCTCTTCCCGAATCACAAAACGCATCTAATTCAGCACTTTCAATAGCATCACTGTAATCATCATTAAGCCGAACTTTCGGCTGGTATAACTGGGCCTCTCTCTTTAGTTTGGTCACATGAAACGAACATTCAGTTGCAGTACTCGCAAGCAGAGTTCAGTTTGACAAGTTTGTTAGGTCCGATTCATCATACTAAGATTTTCGTCGTAGGAACGAGGTATTCGTTCCTGCGGGCCACTTTTTGAAGTTGATAGACAAAAAGATAGACATAGAAGACAAAAGGGATAAGGAGGGATCCTATTGGTGGAAGCCGGTGGTTGCAATAGATAAAGGAGGTTGATTAATGGACTAACTAATGGCAATACACGAGGGTCCCTTTAGTTAATCCATCATTTTCCCCCTTAGTCTTTTAGAACCACCCATTTTAACGGATAGGATCGCTCCATACTCCCTATGTCTCCTTTGTCTGTCGGTTTGTACATCAATACCAACAATCAGCCCGCTACAGTGTTCTACGTACACGCACGGGATGAAATAATCAATCTCTCGTGACTACGAATGTATCCTAGTGGTTTCGCTGCATATATCATGGTGTCTTGCCGTTCCTGTTCTACCGTGCTAAGGAAAATCGTCGTATGGGCCATCAGGCGTTGCCAAATTTCCTTCGAAAAACGAAGAAATTTTAGGAAAATTTGTGAATATTTCTCCTCCGATGTTTCGGAAGATTTTGTTCAAAATTGGATCTAAAAAGTCCGAAAATTTCATGGAAAAATATTTCAAACTTTTTTCTAAAATGGAGCGTTTCTGAGAGGAAATTTGGTAATCCTCCCATGTTCATACGGCGTTCTTCCTTCAGTGTTGAAGCACGCATTGCCACACTCGGGATGTCTCTTTTCATGAGTGGATTGTTTTTAAGTTCAGAAAATTCTTACGTAACCCGACGAAAAGCACTGCGGAGCTTGCGTTTCGTTCAGCTCCAGTAATCATACCCTCCACCGTCAAGTACACCGTATCAGTCACATCTCATGACATCACTTCAGAGCACGACGCGTAGAAATTATTTCCCAATCAAGGGACTCATTGCGCTTGGTCACCGCCTCATTTGTAGCTTTAAACAGGCCCAACTTTCTTTTGTTGATCTACTTATTCTGTGCGTACCGAACAGAAATCGCTTTGAAAGATTACCCATTAGAACTGCGAGTAATCTGGAAAACCTTATGCCTGTGTCACTCCATCAAAGCTAGCCATCAAAATATCAAAGTCAAGTGTTGTGATTGGCTTATTCGATGACTTGGACCAATCACAGCACTTGACCTTGATATTTTGATGTAACATTTTCACAGTGTGATACAGGCTCAAAATCGGGTCCGCGACGAGTCAGCCGATCCCGTTATTGTGCCACCGTTTTGACCACGTTGCGATTAAATTCCCTTACATTATCGAAAAAATTCAGGGAATTTCATCAGAAGAAGTCAGGGAACTTTAGAGTTTTCATTTGCATTTTCTCCAACATGAGATTCCTCTTCAACAAGAGCCTCTTCTTCGTCAATACTAGTGACGAGGTCATTGACTTGAATTGCATTCAAGATGTGGCTAGAAAAATAAATTATTCAAAAGTTACAACCCAAGATACGAGACTTTAGAATACGACGCTAGCTGGCCAGCGGAGTGTTTTGCCAAATGTGACTGTGTTT